GGGAGTGTATGTAGTAACTGCACTGATAGTGATACAGACTCGCCGTAGTAATCACATGTAAGGATATCACTTGGTTCCGGCCCTGTTTGCTGAGGCCTGATGGTTACAAGAATTTGGAAAACAAACACGTGGTCGGAGACACGTCGAGGCGTGTGTCCTGGAGAAAAATTACATGTTGGTAGAACTGTATAGTTTCTAATTTTCCAAGTTTTATTATCAGTGGGGATGCAGTGAGTAGAACACAGAACCTGCGTGTGTAAACAAGAAATAAGCTTCGAATTTTAATTGGAAAAAGAAAATGAGGAGTAGATGCATAAATAAACTATATTCACATTCAGAATTACCGGGTTTTCGGACTTTGTCCATCGTCCGGTATTCTAAAAACTAGAAAACCCGACCTTTCGGAAACTCTATGTGATTCACTTCAGTTTAGCTCTTTCTAAAGGACCCAACATGTTAGGTTTCTCCCATCTCACCCCGTGAGTGAAATTTTCAGTGTTTTAGCCAGCATCTCTGAAGATGGGGTTGTAAGTTTCTGACGAAAGACATTTTGATGGGCTGAACTGTGCGAGCTGCACGCTGCATTTAGAGAACCCTGCCACCTGCTCCATATCTGTCAAATTAAAATCTGGGGTAGCGTGGGCCCAGAAACACTCTGCTGAACTGACGACTCCTGCACCAGTCAAGGTTCAGGATTTCGAAAGGGTCTGATTTCGTGTTTCCCATTAACTTGCACTGATTTACTGGCTTCAAGCTTCGCATGAGCCGCCCTCCTTAAACCAAAAAGAGACTGACTCTTGAGCGAAAAGCGTAACTACCCTCGAGCCGGAAGCAATTCTCTCGAGGGTTCCCCTAACTCGGACTGCTTCAGTATGTCCAGTCTGTCATAACCTTCTTGGCTGTACACATTGCAGGTTCCCCGCTGTCTAGCGTCGTGTTTTCCCGTTCAGTCTGGATCTCGTAACAGAACAACCTTTAACTTTCCGTTTCCTACGCGCTGGTTCATCGCTCGCGTATTTCCTTTTTTCTTCTACCCTGAAGATGGAGGCGATACGTTCCTACGAAATGTTGGTTAACACAATATCTACACGGCGCCACATCCCAGAAGACTGCTTTCTTCACAGTCACCGCCGTGAAAACTTCAAATCTTATGTTGTCTTTTTCGGGACCAAAGTTTGGTCTCTCGCCCTCAGGAAAGAACAGGAAAGTGCGAGTCGGGACGCAACGGTAACAGCGGACTTGAATCGCTCTCCTAGTATGAGCAGGTCCCTGATTTTGCCTTTGTTCCGCCACACACCGCGATATTACGCAGCCAAATCTCACCGCGTGGTGTGAGGTTACATCGAGTTAGCTGCTTCGTGATGCTTGCTCTGGACCGTACAGGCAGCTCAGTGAACGAGCAGTTCCAATTAACTTCAATTTAGCGACTGGGGAATCTGCAACTGTTTGAGCGGTGTAATGTTACGCCACACTCCACGAAACCTAACCTACTGCTCCACTTCTGGATGCTTATTGTTGCTTTTAGTTTCCTTACCAGTGCGTTTTCTGGGAGGCAGAGCTGAAGCTTTAGATATTATCTGGATGAATATTATGCTTTAGTGCTCCTAAGTCCACTTCCCAACCTTTTACCTTCCTCTTACCCAAAGCTTTACTTTCTAGCCAGCATAAAGGACAAGCGAGTACTACCTGGGGATGTTCAAAGCCAGGGAAATGTCCTCTTCTCTTCTCTTCTCTTCTCTTCTCTTCTCCTCTCTTCTCCTCCCTTCTCCTCTCTTCTCTTCTCTTCTCTTCTCTTCTCCTCTCTTCTCTTCTCTTCTCTTCTCCTCTCTTCTCCTCTCCTCTCTTCTCTTCTCTTGTAACTATGGAGCTTAGATTTTCCTGCTTACTCTGTCCAAAGTTTCGAACCACTTGACCAGTTTCCTCGAAATTTGGCATAAACGTTCCGTTTCAAAACTTCGTACCATCACTAATAAGAACATGGCGGTTGCACGAGCTTATGAGATATCAGCACACCTAGCGACACTGAATGTAAAGTCTCAATACGATGTATGGTAAGAGTAGTAATACAATTGTTGTATCTCTCTTCGTAACATATTTTTATAGTTGACTCGATGGATGAGATTGTGGTGGGCGGAGCATGTAGCACGGACGGAGATTATAAGACATACGTGCATAATTGTAGTAACAACATCTAAATTGACGATACAATTTGGAATATTTGTGCGTAGATGGAAGAATAATATTAAGACGAATCTCAAATAAATACGGTGGCAGGGTGTGAGCTGGATTCAACTGCTCCACGGAGTTAGCTGTATGTAGGAAGGGAGCCTTCTTGAGCTACTGGCCCGAAGGAGGTAGGCAAACCGCAGAACAACTTCAATTCCGTTATTTCCCGTTCTGTGTATATGGGCATCTGATGGTAGTGGCGGGGGGGGNGGAGCGGCGTTGATTTCCGGGTAACTTCCGCGTGCATGGCGGTCGTCTGGGTGCTAACCTAACCTGCTCGGTTTCGTTCTCTTCCTTTGGTCTATGATGAAGCAAGGGGAGTTTCTGTGAGTCAGACAAACAATAAAATTAACCTAATCTCTTTGAGAGTCGTGTGCCTCTAGTGACGACAATACTGACCTTGGTGGGTAGGTGGCAGCATTCTCTCTGTGCATCTTGTCACATTCATCTTTATGGCAGTAGCAATATCGGCGCCATTTTAATTTGGTATTTGTGCGAGTTTGTCGCCCATTTTCTTTGTACAACGAACGTTAAGTAAATAGTAAATTGTCACACAATGAACTATGCGATTTTTATGTAAATAATTTATTTGAACTGTACAAATATTATTATTGCATTTTCTGCCCAGATTTAAACAACTTTGTAAGCAGAATGAAGCAATATGTTTACAAATAGTACCTTTAAAATTAGAGACACTTCGTGAATTTGTGGGGTTCCCATTGCCATGAATATCAGGGTTACGGTCTTGCGGGCAGTGACTCTTTGCAATTTGGTAGATAGTTACAACGTTTCGGAGAAAGGTGCACCCAGAAGATGGAAGCAACTGAGTGTTTCGAAACGTTGATAACGTTCTACTCGACTGTAACATGAGATATCCCAGGACAATCCAATCTTCATAGTTATCACCGCGAAAACCTCAAACCACAAAGACACGTGTTCTTTTTTTTTCCGCAAGTTCATAAACCTAATCATTTTCTCAGTATTAATATTAACAATCTTATGCACTGTAACAAGATACTATTTTAATATTACAAATTTTACACTCTGAATGTAATTTCACGCTTATATTCCACACATTTTGTTTAAATTCATCTATCTTAAACGATATATAATCTCAGAAATAACAGCTTGGCTCTCAGATACAATAATTCCAGTAAAAGTACTAACTACTGCTTATCAGAAACACTTCTGAGGTTTTCATACTCTCAGTAGACACTTTCGATTGACTGCACAAGCTCAGAATTATATTGGACACAGTACACAGCTCACTGACTCAATTAAAATTCTAAATCGACTCCTTTGTTTAATTTACTACGTTATATAAGAATAAAGTTCGACATACAGCGTATTAAAAAAAAGACGCAGGTGTTTTAATGTTTATATTTATTGATATATTGCACTTACAGCACTGGTTGTCACATCAGAACACTAATAAAACACAGGGGACTTCATTCAGTAGAAACATATTCAATATGTGATCCCTGTTTATCCAAATCAATTTACATAAAAATAATTTTTAACTACGTCCAGTGTTTCTTTAGCGATGTTTTCAACAGTATCCTGTGATTTCTGACTGCAGTTCTTCGACTTTGCGAAGGGGATACCCCCGCCAACTATAAACTGGCAACTGTTGCGTGTTCTATGACGTCATTTCAGTGCAAGTATGCGTCTTTTTTTTGATGACTCTGTTTATGATTATTGTCATTTCTATATTACATATTTGCACAAAAAATATACAGTTTAGGTACTTGTACTGTAAAAGTATATCTATAGACTATAAGATTTCGTCCCTGAAGAGAATCTCACATAAATATATGTACGTGTATATATATGTACTGTAAATGTGATATGCATAACGTTGCACTTATCCAGGTTACATGTGAAGCAGTGGATCTCTACACACTTTTGGAAATAATGGCAAATGTACAGAAGCTTTTGGGGGAAGCCAGATATCGGGCCCTCCCTGGAGTGGAGGAAAATATTCGCATTTGAAAGAAAGAAAGAAAGGTGCTAGTGTATGACAATTTAAATTATTTTTTGAAAATTATTCTGCTACCCTGAACGTTCAGGGCGACCAGTACCAACAGCATGAAGAGAATCATACGTAAGTTTGTAACGACTGCTCACCTTGCCTAAGGAGTCAGCATACCCTTTTCTAATTGGGGAAGGTAAAGGTAAAGCTGGCCGGTCACGGTAGCCGAGCGGTCTGAGGCATGTACTGTCTTCGCTTGCTTGGAAACTGGGATCGTGGGTTCGAATCCCACTCAGGGTATGGATGTTTAGTTTGTGTGTGTGCGTTTTTCTGTGTTTGTGTACACGTAGAGGCCTTGCGACGAGCTGATCACCCGCCCAAGGAATCCTACCGAATGTGTAAGATCTAGAAAAACCGAAGTGAACCGAGAAGTTCATGGAGGTAGGCCTAGGCCCACTGGGTCTGTAATGCCAATAAAAAAAAGTAAAGCTGACCCTGTGCCTAACTGATTAAGCACTATGCCGTGAGGGTGTATGGGGGTTGGATGTATGGATCCAAATTTTCTTGACCTCAGCACTAGTAGGAGGCGTGTGGTCAGCTTCACGCCCTAGCCGCTTTGCCTCCAGGGAATGCAATCGGGGGGGGGGGGGGGAACCGGGCGTGGGGGGGGGGAGGGGG